ACATATATGGCAGTCCCCCCCCCCCCTCCCCCGTGCTATTTACAAGCGTGGCTGAGAATTTGAACTAGGGATGACTGGAAAAAATCAGCAAGTGCCTAGGGCGGGACTTGAACCGAGGACTGCCGCATTGCGAATCCAATGCACTGACCACTCGGCCACTCTGCCTCCTTTTTAATTTCACCCTTTCTGGTAGATTTCTTGAAAGAAAGTTAGTTATATTTTGCTCTGATTTATTAGGGTCTACAAGGGCGAGCTGGAGCCCCAGGAATCCCAGGTCTTCCTGGAGCTAAGGGTGACCGTGGTGAGCCAGGAGTACAAGGTGACCCAGGGATTGTTGGTGAACAAGGACCTGATGGTGAAGCAGGACCAAAGGGAAGAAATGGACAAGATGGTACCCCTGGAAGAACTGGAAGTGCTGGAGAGAAAGGAAGCTTGGTATGAAAATTGATAAGCGTGTTTGTTATTGGGACAGTGAAATGCAAAATGGGAACTAAATGATCTAACTGCAAAAACGAATGGATTATGAAAGGTTAACCAACCGTTTGACCTGCTTTTCAAACAGTTTGATAAAACTTCAACTGTGACGATCTCTTTTACATTTATTTCCTCATTCTGTGGTTCAAGTACTGTAAAATCCCTCGACTTAGAGCCTGGATTTTAAAAAACTGTTGGGTATAATTTGCCAGTTAAGCCCCCTTCTGTTTTGTCTAAAATTTATGAAGTTTACACACTTACTGTATGCTAGGTACATGTAATCTTATTCTTTTAAGTAGAGTTATTTGACCTGTAATGAACAAAAATTTCTTGCAAGTTTGAAACATTTTGAACCAGTGAAGTACATTTATAACACTGACCATTTTTTGGGCAAAATGATTACAGGAAGCCTTTTTCTAAATTATTATTGGGGAGCAAGGGTACTAATGTTCCCAGGTTCAAATCCTGGTGCCAACGCCATATGTTGTTTGGGTTTGTTGTTGGTTCTCTCCTTTGCACTTAGAGTTTTTTTCTGGGTAACCCGGTTTTCCCCTCAACTTAAAAACCCACGTTTCCAAATTCTAATTTGATCAGGAATCAGGGAGATGAAGAACCACCAAGTGGATGTCACCTCACCTCGCCTATCCTCTCAGTGCCTCATGGCACGTAAGGCCTTCACAGCCCCCCCCTTCCCCGCTTATCTCAGGTAGCCGTAACAGTGTTCACGTCCTCCCATGATCACCATCCTGCTTCTGCCCTTACTTTTTCAACCATTCGCCTTCAGCTGGTTTTTGGTACAGTGTACATACATTCCAGTTTCCGATCTTCTTCTATCCTTTGACCTGTTCGGCATGGGTGGCCCTAACAGAAGTCAAAGACTCCAGCCAACATAGCTCTATGGGTCATTGAGACACAAACCACTCCACCATGGTAAGGTGGTGGTCTCTTTAGTTTGGGGTAGACTAAGTGGATGCGCTACCTCTAAATCGTTACTTATTTATTTTATGAAGTAAGGTAATGTGTTTATTTTTATTAGATGTGTTTCTTTAATTTTTGCCACCCTTTTCAGGGTCCAACTGGTCCAGCAGGCCCCCCTGGACAACCAGGAGCTCCTGGCAGTGCTGTAAGTAAATTGTCCCTTCCAGTTCCTGTACATTATCCCTGTATATCCCAATAGTGACCAACAGCAATTTTCTCCTAACAATGTCCATACATTGTCAAGAGATAAGGTTGTGAGAATATAAAAAAAATGATCACGAAAGAGAAAATGCCTCAATGTTTTTTTAAACTCTCTCAACTAATTCTTAAAGGAAATGTATGCAGAGATAAGTTTGGAGAATTTGTATGTGGATACTGGGGCTTAAAGGGTTATTTAATTTACAGTGCTCTCATTATGAGCATTTAACTCCTCATCAGTCACATTTACCTTCAGACTTATTTTAAAAAATTCTGCTTGGTAAAACCCTACCCTCTCCTTCTTTGAATTCATAATAACCCCTGATGAGGTGGGTATAGATAATTTTGTTTGGATTGGAAGAAATATTTCTAGAAATCTAAGATCATTTGTTCCTTAATTTATATCAGAAATCCTTAATTTCGCAGTGGTTTTCATACTAATGTGTACTTTCAAGGAACGAGTAACAGAAGTGTTACTGATAACTACACATCTGCGGGAGACTTGAAAAATAATAAGGGGCTTGACACTCATGGGGAAAGCAAGTGAATCATTGGAACTTACTGAGCAAAGGCTACCAATCTATAATAGATTTGAACTGGAAGGAAACTAAAAAATAACTACGAACCAAATAAGGCTAGGGAGTGAATTGACTACCCACAAATACAGGATTTACAAAAGGGAACAAGGTGTTTACCACTCCTACACAACAGTAATTAGGTACAAGAAATGTGTCGGAATAATTCAGTTTCAATTTCAATTCAATTCAATTCATTGTTTATTCGCACTGTTTCCAAAGATTACATATTGCATATTATTTAGATAGAGAAGAAAATAAACATACAGTAATAACAAGAAGAGAAACATTGTCAGTTCGTGCACAGCAACCAGAGGAGCTAAGGCTTTTGAGCTGGTTGCCATAATGATAGAATAAAGGTAGATCTGGCTCTCAAGTTATCCTGTCATTATATTATTGTTCACTTAACAAATGGAGTTTGTAGTGCGCTCTAAAAGAACTGCAGGTAATAATTTTAGGGAATAATACGACAAGGTGTGTAAGGAAATAGAGAAATTCAGGTAAACAACCCAAAAGTAATAATTATTAGGATAATAAAACTAATCAGAAGATAATATGGAATTTAATTCAATTCAATCAGAAACCCGAGTTTCTGATTCAACTCAATTCAGTTTTATTATTCACACTTTATAAATATTTACATTATATATAGTAAGGTACTAATAAACTAATAAACTAGGAGAAGAAAGAAAAAAAAAAAGAAAATTAACGGCTTGGGTAGAAGTGTACGGTGGTCAGAGGAGCTTAGCTTTCGAGCTAACCACCGCAAAAATAGATTACATTTAGCCATGTAAAAAAAAGATTTTTCATTTATTGCGACTGAACTTTGCCTGGCATAAAATAATAGTGTATTTTATACATATTTTTATACATACAACAATAATAGTGATTTACAGTGCCTTTTTTTTTGCTACTCTATACATACTGAATGTGAAATTTGCATTTTTCTCTACTGAAAGGGTGTCCCTGGTGCCCAAGGACAGTCTGGCCCTCCTGGAGACAGGGTAAGTGTAATTAATTCATTTCCTTTAAATACCATTCAGTATCAATGTGAAATTCCTAATTCTAACTGGCAGGAGGCAACCAGTTGGCTATTTACAAGCGTGGCTTAGGATTTGAACTTAAAACAACCAAGAACAAATCCAGCAAGTGTCTAGAGCAGCACTTGAACCCTGGACCGCCAGATTTTGAGTCCAACATGCTGACCTCTAGGCCACACCACTTCTATAACAGATAAAAGTTTTTCAACAAATTTGATCTAGAATAGGTTGTGGTTACACTGTTTTTGCTGATGTTTGATTATTAATGCTGTATTAGGGTCGAACTGGTCAGTCTGGATTGCAGGGACAAAAGGGAGAAAAAGGATCACAGGTACTAATTTTTTTTAATCTGTGATTATTTTTGGAATTATTTATTAACTTAAGCTCATTAATTTCAGTTATCCCTTTAATTCTCAAGGGTGACAAACGTCAATTACTTCCCAGCAATGTCAATACACAATCAAGAAAAAAAGGTTGTGAAAAATTGATAAACAGAGGGTATTACATGGCTGGATGGAGATACGAGATTTATCTTTGAGTGTTGAAAAATATGCGCTCACTCGTGAAATATTTTTCGACACGAGAAGAGAAATTTCGTATCTCCAAGTGGCCATGTAATGTTCTATTTATTTTATTTATAAACACCAATGAAATACCAAACCATTTCACTTTGATAGTTTTTGATGTGAAAGGTGCGATTAATTATGTAACCATAGCAACAGTGATCTTTTCACAAGTGAAGATAACATGTTTTTTCACGTGTGAAGATATCATGTTTTCGCGCAAAAGCTCACCTGGTATTTCATTGGTGTTTATATAATAAAAATAAATTATCACCTGAGGGAAAATGCCTTGATCTTTTATTAAATTCTCTCAACTTATTCTTTAAGAAAATGTATAGAGATCAGTTTGGAGAATTTGTATGTGGATATTGGGGCTTAAAGGGTTATGTTTATTTGTTTTTGACTGATTTCAATACGATAATAGCATTAACTATAATGAAATTGTAACTTGTAAGAAGCCAAATGCCAATTTGTGAGCCTGTGTTATTTCATATTTTCTGTCATGTGGGTCTTCATGTAATAGGAGTTGCTCTAAACATAATTTGAGTTTCTCTTGTTTGAGAATGATGAAACTGGGTTTGACCTCCATGGCAGTGAAATGTCTAAGGCATTTTGTTTTTTATTTAATTGCTGTGATTCCATTTTCCAGTAAGTGGACCCATAGGCAAGGACTTATGAAATAAAAAATGGGCTTAATTCCCATCGAAACCAGAGCACAGGAAAGTTCAAAAAGTCAATTTTATCTGGGAGATTTGCTTTCCACCTTGCCAAAGCAAACAGTCAGTTAACCAATGGGATTATCAAGAGGAAAAAGGTACAACATTATTGGATTGAAACAAAGTTTCTGGAGGTGTACCACTTTGACCGGAAAATTTCCATGCAGACAGAGGCATATTCCATTTATTTCTTTGCCGAAATTTCTGAAATTTTGACTTATGGGAAAGCACCTTTGGTGACCTGTATGGGAGACTGGGAGATTGGTGCTGTATCCGTGAGACTCATAGATAATCCAGGGGAATTGGTAGATGATATGCCATATCATGGTACAACATTGTACTAAGTTATTAATAATCCATTTGCTTACAGGGATCACCTGGACCACCAGGGCCTACTGGACCAACAGGACGTAGTGGAAAAAGGGTAATGGAACTGCATCATAAATATATTTTGAAGCCATGAACTTGATCTAGGAGGACTGCCATCCAAAAACTTCACCGGCATGGCTGTGGTGCCTTTCAGAAAATTCAGCAGGTGCACAGAAAAAGTCCCAACTGACTTCTGATAAAAGGGAAATTTGACGTTACATCAAAAGTCACTTAAGTTTTAGTTAGGACATTTTTCCATGCACCCCTGTTATTGTTGTGCTAGATCATCTTTTTCCTGTTTCCTCATGTGGCCCTATATTCTTAGCCTGCGAAAATGTCCGTTTCTTCTCGCCCTTCACCGCTGGAACGTTTCGCATGGAGGAATGTCTGCAACTCAGCGACAGATATTCCATACTGATGACGCAAATCAATGTTTACTTAATAAGTGTGGTAGTCGTGGGGTTCCAAATGCAAATTTATTCAATTTTAGGTTTCTCCTGATCGATTTTGGTAAAATGTTGTGTTCATCTGCAAACGAGCTCCAGCAAAACTCAAATGCTTGTTGTAGAGAAGACTATATTCCGCAAATACTGACTGTTTTGTCAGAGATTCATCGCATTTACATTTGACCTTTGTAGCCTTTTGTCTTTTGTCTGTCGTTCGTAAACAATAGCTAAAACAATGTAACTACTCCATCAACCAATCAGGGCTTCTGACTGGATTCTGGACATATTTTATGTCATCAGTATGGAATTTCTGTCGCTGAGTCGCAGACGTTCCTCCGGCGAAACGTACCCAGCGGTGAAGAGCGAGGAGAAACTGATGTTTTCTTAGGCTACTACATTCTTGGAGTAAGATCTAGAATAGGTTGTGGTTACACTGTTTTTGCTGATGTTTGATTATTAATGCTGTATTAGGGTCGAACTGGTCAGTCTGGATTGCAGGGACAAAAGGGAGAAAAAGGATCACAGGTACTAATTTTTTTTAATCTGTGATTATTTTTGGAATTATTTATTAACTTAAGCTCATTAATTTCAGTTATCCCTTTAATTCTCAAGGGTGACAAACGTCAATTACTTCCCAGCAATGTCAATACACAATCAAGAAAAAAAGGTTGTGAAAAATTGATAAACAGAGGGTATTACATGGCTGGATGGAGATACGAGATTTATCTTTGAGTGTTGAAAAATATGCGCTCACTCGTGAAATATTTTTCGACACGAGAAGAGAAATTTCGTATCTCCAAGTGGCCATGTAATGTTCTATTTATTTTATTTATAAACACCAATGAAATACCAAACCATTTCACTTTGATAGTTTTTGATGTGAAAGGTGCGATTAATTATGTAACCATAGCAACAGTGATCTTTTCACAAGTGAAGATAACATGTTTTTTCACGTGTGAAGATATCATGTTTTCGCGCAAAAGCTCACCTGGTATTTCATTGGTGTTTATATAATAAAAATAAATTATCACCTGAGGGAAAATGCCTTGATCTTTTATTAAATTCTCTCAACTTATTCTTTAAGAAAATGTATAGAGATCAGTTTGGAGAATTTGTATGTGGATATTGGGGCTTAAAGGGTTATGTTTATTTGTTTTTGACTGATTTCAATACGATAATAGCATTAACTATAATGAAATTGTAACTTGTAAGAAGCCAAATGCCAATTTGTGAGCCTGTGTTATTTCATATTTTCTGTCATGTGGGTCTTCATGTAATAGGAGTTGCTCTAAACATAATTTGAGTTTCTCTTGTTTGAGAATGATGAAACTGGGTTTGACCTCCATGGCAGTGAAATGTCTAAGGCATTTTGTTTTTTATTTAATTGCTGTGATTCCATTTTCCAGTAAGTGGAACCATAGGCAAGGACATATGAAATAAAAAATGGGCTTAATTCCCATCGAAACCAGAGCACAGGAAAGTTCAAAAAAGTCAATTTTATCTGGGAGATTTGCTTTCCACTTTGCCAAAGCAAACAGTCTGTTAACCAATGGGATTATCAACAGGAAAAAGGTACAACATTATTGGATTGAAACAAAGTTTCTGGAGGTGTACCACTTTGACCGGAAAATTTCCATGCAGACAGAAGCATATTCCATTTATTTCTTTGCCGAAATTTCTGAAATTTTGACTTATGGGAAAGCACCTTTGGTGACCTGTATGGGAGACTGGGAGATTGGTGCTGTATCCGTGAGACTCATAGATAATCCAGGGGAATTGGTAGATGATATGCCATAT